AAAGAAGGCAAGGCTGGGTGGAGAAGAGTCACTCACTGTTCTCTGGCCAGCAGATTTTTTCTAGAGACCTCCCTGGGCCAATGTCATGTGACAGTGTTAGTTGGCTTTTACTCTTGCTGGGTGCTGAGGTTACCAGATGGATAGAATGGATGGGATTCCCCAGAGGACCTTGCAAGCTTGCGGGGGAGGCAGGGGTGTTCATGCACAAAGATCAGTGTTGGCAGTTGGGCGTGGGAGGCTTGGGTCACACTGCACCGCACCAGTGGTGTGACCCTGGACGAGTCATTTTACCTGTCTGAGCCTCACCTGCAGAATGGACAGAGTAACCATACCCACTCATGGAATTGTAAGGATGAAAGGAGAAAACACACGGAGGGTACCCAGCTTATGGAAAGTGCTCACTAGATACTGGCTGTTGTGTCATGATGTTGTTATTGTGGATTATTGTGTGTTATTGAAGGATAGAAGGAGCAGCCAGAGAAGCTTCACAACCAAGGGGGCATTCAAGCAGGGTTCTGCAGGAGGAATAGGAGTCCACAAGTAGGCTTGGCATTTAAAGCAAAGGAGAACAGCGTGCTGGGCACTAGGTAGGGTCACAGGGAACTTGGAATGAATGACGTTTATCCAGGAGACAAGATGTAGATGGGAAATGGCGAGGACAGCACACTGGGGGCCAAGTTCAGCATGTGATGCGTGAGTGTCAACCTGTAACCGTGAGCTTCCTCGCTCATCCTCACGATGGGGAGAGAGAGCCAAACAGACAGCCACCTCGTGCTGGGTGGGAGCCCCGAAGGGGCAGAGCCAGGGACCTGGGGAGCAGGCAGGGCTTGGACCCGCGGACCTCCGACCTCTGGCCTCATGGTCTCCTCAGCTGTGAGAAGTGGGTAACAGTGGCCTTCAACTCTGGGGCTTCTCAGGCTCAGGCTGGCTGGAGCTGCGGTGAGGGCAGCTTTGAGGGAGAGAAAGGCAGGGACCCTGGGCCGGACAGGGCGGCCGTGGCCTGAGAGGGGCCGGATGTCTTGGTCCCCTTCCCTCCATGCAGCCTGAAGGACAAGAGAGGCTGGGAGGCCGCCAGTGTGGAGTCACCCTGAACCCGCATTTTATCAACCAGGCCTAAGAGTGAATCCCGGGCCCGCTGGCCCTCACCAGCTGCTCCCTGTCCTGGGAGTTTATTCAGAGGAGGCCGGCTGGGGTTCCACGGGCTCGTCCCTCCTCTCCTGTTCACCCCACGCCCCTCTCAGACCCCTGCCTCCTGCCTGCCTGTCCTCTCCTCCATTCTGACGCCGGGTGGGACTCTTGTCCTGTCAGCTGTCCGGAGTCACCCCCAGCTGACTCCGGGCAGGGACCGTGTGGGCAGACCTGCTGGGCTAAATCTGCCGGTTTCCTGGTCAGCAACTCTGGGTCCCCAGAGGGGTCCAGGCAGGGCACTGGAGAAGGAGAAGCCAGCAAGGCACAGGTGAAGCCCTCCCATCCCCAGAGGACCCGCCCGTGGCCACCAGTGAGGCACCCATGCATGGCCCTGAGCCTCTTTTTCCATCTGAGAGTAACCCCTTGCCCCCTTCAAGGGTCTCAACCTCAGATTTGACTCTTCACATCACAGCACAGCCCCAGGGTGGTTTTGAGGCACTGGGGAAATCTGGGTCTCACTGAATCTTGGTCCAAGCAGACTCTGTGTTGAGGGTTCTAGGACCTTCGTGGCTCCATCAAGGAGGATGGGGTGGTCTCAGCCTTCATACCTCCTCCCTGCCTGTCCCACCTGTGGCAGGTGAACTGTCATTCATTCACCCAGCAAACAGCATGTGCCGTGCTGGGCCCTAGAATGTGAAAATGAACAAGCCAGGATTGAGGGCCCTCAGGGGGCTCCCAGCCCAGTGGGGTTGGAGGGGGGGGGCGGGGTGGGCGGCAAGCAGCCCTGTCATTGTGCCCAGGGAGAGCTAGAGGCTCTGAGCACAGAGCATGAGGAAGCCAGCCCACCAGGGCATCCTCAACAGACCCCGAAAAGGAAATGGCCCCGCCTGGATGTATCCCCTGCCCACGGGAAATGAGTGGACACAGCGTTCCCTGTGTCCTGGCCTCCCTGGTTTCCTGATGGCTGGTTTCCTGGGCAGACCGGAGGCAGGGTTAGACCCAACCCTCCTTGCCCTACCTGAGAACTGGGGGAGGGGGTGGTCAGGAAGAATTAGTTAATCTGGCCAGGAGTCCCTGGTGCCCCTTCTGCTGGAACCCCATGCACACCTGTGTGTGCTGAGAAGCAACCCAAGGTTCCCAGAATACAGGCCTCCTGCGTGTACTACTGCCCCAGACCCTCTGAGGAACTCGCTTGTGCTCCTAGGACCCCTGCACCTGCCAACACCCACCCCAGCTTTACACTTCCCTTCTCTTTCCACTTGTCTAGAAATTCTCAGAGTCCTCAGAGGCACTGCCTTCTGCCAGACCCTAGGGAACGGTGCAAACCCCGTGGCCCTGTTCCCCATAGGAGCTGGAGGTGGGATAGGGTTGAGCAGGGACTAGGGGAGGAGAAAAGAGGCCAAAGATCCCCTTCACCTCAGGCTGACATAGTCAGAATTAGATGGAGGGTGGTTGGATGGTGGGAGAGGGTGAGTAGAAGGAAGAAAAGAGAGGTGGATGGATGGATGGATGGATGGATGGATGGATGGAAGGGAAGGAGGGAAGAAGAATGGATTGGGTGGGTAGATGGATGGATGGATGGATGGATGGATGGACAGATAGGCAGATGGGGTAACAAGGGAGGATGGAAAGAAACTTGGGTGACAAGGACTACAAGGCAAGGGTGAGATTTGGTGGAGTGGAGGATGCTTACACCCAATTGCCTTCCCACAAGAGATGGTTTTTTTTCTTCTTCCTGAAGCGAATCTCCCTGCCTCCCCTGAAGGAACACACTCCAAGTCTGTTTTTAGTTCAATAGACAAGAAAGTGTCCCTTGGAGACTGTCTAATTGCAGTCCATTTGCCCTTAAAGGACTTTTGTGGTCATGGAGAGCCACTGATGGAATCCTTCCTTGTAAAACACTTCCTGTATTTTAAGACTTAATTATAAGAAATAAAGCGGTTGGACTAGGTGGGGTCTTCAAACTGGCCTTCCCAGGGATGTTTCAGGGGTTGAAAAAACAGTTTTATTTTCTTTTTAAAAATATTTCAGGGGCGCGCCTGGGTGGCTCAGTTGGTTAGGCGTCTGACTCTTGAGTTTGGCTCAGGTCATGACCTCATAGTTTGTGAGATCGAGCCCCATGTTGGGCTCTACGCTGATAGCACAGAGCCTGCTTGGGATTCTCTCTCTCTCTCTGCCCCTCCCCACTCTCTCTCTCTCTTTCTCTCTCTCTCAAAATAAATAAACATTTTTTGTAAATTTTCAAAAGTATCTAAAGCACCAGTAGAAAAAGCAGGTCCGTTGCAGACCACAGCTCTTTTTGTTACCTTTCCTAATAAGATAAAGCCCATTGCTTTATTCAGGGGATTTGTACATTCCAGAAAGTTGGGGGGTGGGGGAGCACACCAGGTCTTTTGTGTATCCCTCCAGCTACTCCCTTTGGGACCCTTTCCCAAGTGCTTAAGTGAAAGTGCTGAGATTTTAAGGTCTACAGTTGATAAAACCGTTCCCACCACCAACTAGTCTGTGTGACTTTTCTCTCTACCGTGTCACAGAGCGGACTGGAGAAATCCATCGGGTTCTGGGCTGGTGTGATTGGAGCCACCTCTGTAGCCTTCACTTGAAAACGCTTGCTTACCCAACACGGCCTTCCTGTTCTCGTTAGTTTCTTCTAGAGGGAAAAATCTGTGGTTGGACCTGGAATGTCTTCCTTGTGAAGAAACCTAGTTTCACAGACTGGGTACCATGTTGGGTTTCATTTTTCAAGGAGGAGTTTCATTGACAATTTTAGAAGGAAGAAATGAAAATAGAAACCCATTAGACTAATCCCTGGGGAAACCCCATCTCTTCCTTTTTCCGATGCCTTCCAGCCCCTGCCTCTATTGCCCTGTGCTGCCAGAGCTGAATTTTATTAAGGTTCTTAGTTCCCTTTTACCGACGGGGGCCTCTCTGGACCCAGGGACACATCATGTCATGGGGAGGTGGGTTGTTCTCGCTGGGGTCAAGGTTGAGAGTGAACCAGCCTTCTCTTCTGAGCCTTTTATGGCCAGCCATTCATAAGTTTGTCCAACACTGTTAGAAGTCCATTCATTGGCCCCACCAGGGTCTCCTCCTAGTGCAATGGGTCCCACATTTATTGCCTGTGGGGACGGCAGCATTTCTTAGTGGGAGCCTGGGTGCCTCTCTTCGTGCCCTCCTTCCCAGTGGGGCCACAGCTAGGTGGGGAGTCCACTTCACCTCTGTGGGCCTCATGGCCAAGACCTTCCAGTCCATTCTGGAGGCTGGTGCTCATAAACCTGGCTCTAGACCTACTGGGTGGGAAGGCCAGCTTGTTCCTGAGAACATTCTGGAACACCATACAGGAGTGCTGTCACTCCAAACTGTGTAGGGTAACTAGAATCTGTTGGTGGGAGGCGTCCTGTGGAAAGGAATGTGTAAGAAAGACTTGTGTGGGAGCCCGGGTGACTCAGTTGGTTCAGTGTCTTCGGTTCAGGTCATGATCTCGCAGTCTGTGAGTTCTGGCCCCGTGTCGGGCTCTGTGCTGACAGCTCAGAGCCTGGAGCCTGCTTCACATTCTGTGTCTCCCTCTCTCGCTGCCCCTTCCCCACTCATGTTCTGTCTCTGTCTCTCTCTCAAAAATAAATAAACATTAAGAGAGACTTGTAAATAATGTATCCATCGACTGGTCGTAAATGGGCTCAGTAACTGTCCGTTCGGTTCAGAAAGTCGTATTGTTAATGTGCTTGGCGTGCCGTCGTTGGATGCAATCGGGGAGGCTAGCTACTTGACTTGCCAATTACTCGGGCAAACTGCTGAATTTCCATTGCCCACCATTGAATTACGATGGGTCATTTAATCACCACCTATTTGGTGTTGCCATCCTCTCCTTCCAGATCGTTCTCTGGGGCCGGACTGAGAAATGCCTGAAAGAGACGACAGAGGAGATTCGGCAGATGGGCACCGAGTGCCACTACTTCATCTGTGATGTAGGCAACCGGGAGGAGGTATACCAGACGGCCAAAGCTGTCCGGGAGAAGGTAAGTGCCCAGGAGGGTCTGTCCCGAGTTCGGCTGGACACAAGACACAATAGCCAAAGAGAACATTCTCTCACCTGCCTGGCCTGGGAGAGAGCGTTGCGAATGGCAAAATGGCTGTTTTCGGGGCATGTCTGGGGACTGTCCCGGAAGCTGGCCCAAGCTGTGTGTGCATGTCCGTGTGCGTGAGTGTATACGTGCATGCGTGTGTGTGTGTGTGCGCGCGCGTGTGTTCTTTGGGGCAGGGATTAGGTGTGTGGCTTGATTACATAACAGAAGTAATCACCTGTTGTCCCCTTTGGAAGAAACCTTGTGAGTTTCTGGGGGGCAAAAGTCCCATCGCCCTCTGGGAGGATCCTTCTCCTGACTCCAGCCATCTGTTCACGGTGAATGTATCAGTGAGCTCCACAAGAGCAAAACCCATCCTGTTTGCTATCTAGCCCGTGGTGAATGTTAAGTGCTTCTGTGTAACAATAACCTCATTTATCGTAAACATGCTGTGTGCCACGAAGTATTTCTGACCCTCAGATCAACCCCGGTACGGCCATCAGCTCCATCTCACAAATCCAGACTGAGGCTCAGAGAGATGATGTGGCTGTCCAGGGGCACACAGCCGGTGTCGAGGGGGCAGGCCCCGCCCCTGTGGGTGCAGGCCACCGGGACCGGCTGCCCTAACAGCCCCGCGGCCCCCTTGCCCACAGGTGGGCGACATCACCATCCTGGTGAACAATGCTGCCGTGGTCCACGGGAAGAGCCTGATGGACAGTGACGATGACGCCCTTCTCAAGTCCCAGCACATCAACACCCTGGGCCAGTTCTGGGTAAGGGCCGTCCTGGGCCACAGCCGGCCCTGGGCGTGACAGTGACGTGTTCCTGCCCTCCAGGCTGCTGTAGGGGGGTGGGGAGAGGCTCACCGGGGCTTGGGCTCAGGCCAGGGGGATGTCCGGAGGCAAGGTGGCCAGATAAGAGCAATGACCGCCCAGCCCCCGGAGACATCTGGACGTACAGAAATGCGGAGCTCGGTGCCCTGCGGTGGGCGGGCCTCGGCCCCCTCCCCTCCCCTCCCAGGAGAGCTCAGTGGTGGTCGTGCTCCCTAGAAGAGGTTTCAGAGGGGCCGCTGGAGCCCGCGGCAGCTCCACACTGACCTCCCACCCACCCTCAGACCACCAAGGCCTTCCTGCCGCGCATGCTGGAGCTGCAGAACGGCCACATCGTGTGTCTCAACTCCGTGCTGGCGCTGTCTGCCATCCCTGGTGCCATCGACTACTGCACGTCCAAAGCCTCGGCCTTCGCCTTCATGGAGAGCCTGACCCTGGGGCTGCTGGACTGTCCAGGAGTCAGTGCCACCACCGTGCTGCCCTTCCACACCAGCACCGAGATGTTCCAGGGTATGAGGGTCAGGTCAGTGAGCGGGGGACTCCCCTCCCTTAAGCCAAGTCCCACAGCGGATCGGACCAGGGACGTGCTTAGTATGCACAGAGAGAGCTAAAATTTAAAAATATCGCGGAAGCCCCTTCTGTTTGGCTTTGTGGTCTCATACCCGATTCTCTATATGCGAGGCCGTGGGACACTGTAGTGGTTTAGGGTCTTGCTTCTCAGGTCAGGGAGCTCTTACAAAGTATCAGTGCACATGCTCGCAGTGGAACACTCCCCAAGAGAACAGAGTTAACACATGAGCAGCATGGATCAATCTCAAAAGTATTACGTTGAGCAAAATAAGCCAGATGCTTTCAAAGAGTGCCTTCTGCATGAAACTCTAGCACAGGCAAAACCAGGCCAAGGTGATAGACATTAGAATAGTGGCCATCTCTGGAGGGGCGGGGACATAGCCTGGGAGGAAGCACAAAGAAACTTTCTAGAATATTTTAAAATGCTCTCTCTTCCCAATCCAAGTGGCAGTTACACAGGTAAAAATTAATCATGCCATACACTTAAGATTTATTCAACTTTTTATGCAAATTATATGCATAATTATATGTATGCAAATGATAGCTCAATTTAAAGAAAGACTGAAGCCCAACCCCCTGTCCTCCAGGCCAATGGGACTCCAGGGGAATGGGAACTATTGGTTGAGACCTCATGCTTTGGAGCCAGCCACCTGTGGTGCTGACTCACTTATACCTGTATTGTACCATCTGACCCTGGGTCCAATTAGTTACCACTGTAGCCTTCATTGCTCATCGGTAAAACAGGAAGGTGAGTGGGGTGGCTGGGTGGCTCAGTCAGTTGAGTGCCCGACTTTGGCTCAGGTCGTGATCTCACAGCTCATGAATTTGAGCCCCACATCGGGCTTGCTGCTGTCAGCACAGAGCCCCATCGAGCCCACTTTGGATCCTCTGTCCCCCTGTCTCTCTGTCCCTTCCCTGCTCATGCTCTCTCTCTCAAAAATAAGTAAATGTGAAAATAAAATAAAACGGGACGATGAGGATGTCCACGTCTAGGGTTCTATGATAAGGATAAAATGGGATCTGGCAAGGAACACTGCATGTGTCTATAGTAAGTCCCCAATAATGGTGCTCTAATGATGTACAGTCATGAAGGGGCACAAAGTTAGAGACAGGTGACGATGGGGAATTATCCAACAGCTACTTTCCTTGCTTTTGCAATGCAGCATATAATAACAGATTTGCCTTCTAAATTATACACAACAGGTTCTTCCACACACGAAGATGGCGTGGAGGTTCACCATGAGAATTTGATGAGACAGCTGGTGGAAAGCACTTAGCACAGCACGAGCCATGTGGGAATCACTCAGTCCCCCTTGGTTGTTATTACTGAGACTGGTTTGGTCATCCCTCCTTCTCTACACTTGTGAAATCTTGAGCCAGTCTTGCTACCTCTGTAGGCTTTACTTTGCTCATCTGTAAAACAGTGGAAATAATATTTCCCTCGGGGATCTTTGGGAGGATTACAAATAATACATGTGAGGCATCTGGTGCAAAGCCCGGCATGCTAGATGTTCAGTAATGAACGGCTGCTCTTTTTGTCCTTAACTCACAGTGAACATCTCCATGAACGCAGATGTGATTAATCTTCCTATCAGATCATACCTTTCGTGTGCCACGGAAATCCACATTTCCACCTGACTCACATGCAGATGATCACGGGTTCTGTATTTAGAGGAGGTGGGATTAATGACCGTTGATGTTCCCTATTGGCTTGCCGGCCCCCCCATACCACTTTGGGCCGGTTTCTTTTCTTCTGGGTATACAGGAGGTGCTCAGTAAATGCCTATTGGACGGAAGAGCAGCAGGGGCAATCCTGGGTTTCAGGTGGGCTCCAGGGCACAGAAGTAGGCAGGACATCAGCAGACCTCTCACGTGGTGTTCCTGTCTCATCTTCTGGCCCTTTCCTCTCTATCACTTCAAGGAAAGGCGACATTTCTCTACAGTGGTTCAGAGGTTGGGCCCAAACAGCCAAGGACCAAATCACAGCTGTGTGTGACCTTGGACAGGTGACTCAGCTTTTCTATGCCTTGGTTTCATCTTTAAGAAGGGATTGAAAGTGTACCCTTCTTCACAGCTTAGCTGAGCTCCTAGATGTGACTCACCTAGCCTGCCTGGCACGTAGTAAGCACTAGGGGAATGTTAGTTACCTGTGGTTGTGCAGGTGAGCCCCGAGGTTTGGGGGAAGGGTCATAAAAGGATGACTGATGTGTAAACAACTTCCATTCCCTAAAAGAAAAGAAAGAAAGAAAGAAAGAAAGAAAGAAAGAAAGAAAGAAAGAAAGAAAGAAAGAAGAGAAGCATTGGTTTCCTGTCCAACCATGATTAACAGCTTCCCAGCGTTAAAGGGAGGTAGAGACAGATGTTTAGGACAAAACTGATGGGTTTTCTGGCAAGAACGGCCATGTAGGTGCTGTTGTTTGCAAGTTGCTATTTATTGATCTTGTTCCATGTCCCAGCCGCAACAGCCACTTTACAAACGCTGCTACACGTGGCCCTCAGCAACCCCGTGAGGGAGCTCTTGTCCACACTTCACAGACGTGGGAACTGAGGCTCAGAGGAGCGAAGCTACTTGCCCAGGGCCACACAGATGGACATGGGCCGAACTCGCTTATTCTGCAAGTCTGCACGGCCTCCGTGGGAGTCATAGCTCCCTATATACCCATCCCACCCACCAGGAGGGAAAGGAGAAAGTCCCTCCAGCAGACGCACTGGCCTCCTCTGTCAGGCTTCCCTGCAGGGGTCTTGCTAGGAAGGGCCCCCCTGTCCCCACAGAGCTTGGCCCTATCCATCCTGTCTTCCCTTCCCCTGCATAGCAAGTAGGCCGGGCCCTGGTCGTGGCTGGAAAACCAGACTGTCCGCCATGTCTATAGGGCTCGTCAACACATTCATCTCTGCAGGCTCCCGGTGGCCATCCTTCCAGACTGCAGGGCTGTGAGCACCTTAGCTGCACGTTAAGATAGCAGAGGAAGCTCGTGGCCAGGAGGGTGTGGGGGGAGATCCACGGGTTCTCTGAGACCAACCGGGCCCGTGCTGGGGTCCCAAGAGTTGCCTTTGCCCAAGGTGACATCAGCTCCAAGAGATTCATCACCCTAAGTGCTCCTGGTACCTGAGCACAAGCACTTCGTGGGATCAAGGTCAGCCCTGCGCCTACAGGCCCACCAAGGATGGGAGGACAAGCTGCAAGTGAGGAGGGGGACAGAGATTTGGCCCGGGGCTCATGCTGGCCTGGCTTGAGCCCTTAGGGCCCTACCATCTCCCCAGAGCCTCAGCTCCCTTCTCTATGAATTGGAGCAAATGGTGCCTGTTGGATTTAGCTCAGGCCTGACAGGGAGCATCGTCACTGTGCGGGGCTCAGGTTAGAGGCCTCTGAACAGGCACGAGAAAGCTCCCTGGTGCCCGCTTATTCAATCATTCATTCATTTACCAACCCCGTGGAAGGCACTCTGTAAACGTTTGACCAGCTCAGTGAATCAATGAATCAAGGAGGGGACTGGCAAGCGGGGCAGAGAAGGGCATTCCCAGCAGACCCCCACCTCCAGACGGGCCGAGCAGGGCACATTCGGGGAGCAGCAAGTTGTTCCGGGTTCATCGGTTCAGCGAAGCGTTTATTGAGCACCCACTATATGCCAGGCACTGCACACCGGGGGCTAAAACAGGGAGCAAGACCGACCAGACCTCTGCCCTGTGGCACTCACGGTCTGACAGGGGAGACAGGCCATGGACAAGCAAACAAGCAGACAGGCAAGGCCACGTGGTAAATGCGGTCAAGGAAATTAGCAGGGGGAGGAGATCAGAGGCCACCCAGAGAGGATGGGCCGAGAACCCTCCCTGGTGGGACAGCTGGCGAAAGGCCCTGAGATGGCAGGGAGCTGAAGCGACAGAAACAGAAAGGTTGGCCTGGATTTCGGGAGCAGAGTGACAAGGGAGAGAGGTCAGGCAATGGGCAGGGCCCAGGACAGTGCTGGAAGAGGGTCTGAGCCAGGCAGCAGCAGGATCTGAGTGACATGTTAGTACTTTTTTTAATGTTTATTTATCTTGAGAGAGAGAGAGCGCGCGCACAGGGGAGGGGCAGAGAGAGGGAGAGAATCCCAAGCAGGCTCCACACTGTCAGTGCAGATCCCAACATGGGGCTCGAGCTCATGACTGTGAGATCATGACCTGAACCAAAATCAAGAGTGGGATGCCTGACCGACTGAGCCACCCGGGCGCCCCTGGGTGACATTTGAAAAGACATTTCAAAGGAAGCATTTTGAAGAATGGTTCCCAGGGGGTGGGCTACAAGACCTCCATTCTCCAGGCGAGACCCACTGGGAAGAAGGGGAAGGAGGAACTCCCGACATTTCTGGGGAAGCAGGCAGGGGCGGGGAGAATATTCCAAAGGGGACTCGAGTCTCCCAAACAGGAAAAGCCAGAGGGACGGCCCGCGGATGTTAGCCACAGAGATAGTCAGCAGAAGTGCGTGCTTCTCTAGGAGAAACCCATATTGTCTCTTCCTGTACCAGGTTCCCCAACCTCTTCCCCCCGCTGAAGCCAGAGACTGTGGCCCGGAGGACGGTGGAAGCCGTGCAGCTGAATCAGGCCCTCCTCCTTCTCCCGTGGACGATGCATGCCCTCATTATCTTGAAAAGGTACGGGCTGGGGGAGAAAGTTCTGGGTCACGTTCACGCTGGCTGTTTCCCCTTCCGCTGGTGAATGCTGGCGGGGAAGAGGCGGCAGGAGGAGAAAATACACATGTGATCGATTACTCATGTCTGCTGTGGGCAGGAAAACCAGCAGTGGTGACCTGTGTCCCAGGGACTTCCCACACTTCGTAGGGAGCAGTGGTTCTCAAAAGCATTGGTCTCAGGACTCCTTTACGATCTTAACAATTAGAAGAACCCAGGGACCTTTTTTGATGTGTCGTATCTGTTATTAGTAACTGTATGAGAAATTAAAACTGAGAAAAATTGTTACAACATTTATGTATGTGTTTAGATTTAAAATATTGATTGATTGATAGGCAGCGGTAATAAATCCATACCTTGTTATAAATATGATATTTTTAAAAATTTTTTTTCAACGTTTTTTATTTGTTTTTGGGACAGACAGAGACAGAGCATGAACGGGGGAGGGGCAGAGAGAGAGGGAGACACAGAATCGGAAACAGGCTCCAGGCTCCGAGCCATCAGCCCAGAGCCCGGCGCGGGGCTCGAACTCACAGACCGCGAGATCGTGACCTGGCTGAAGTCGGACGCTTAACCGACTGCGCCACCCAGGCGCCCCGTATATGATATTTTTATAAAACGTGTATTTTCCAAAAAATATGGAGTAGGAAGAATGGTGTTGTTTTGCATTTTGGGGAAGTTCTTTCTCTATTGCCTGACTTAATTGAAGACAACTGGATTTCTTATATCTGCTTCTGATTTTAATCGGCTATGATGTCACATGTCACGGAGCCTCCAGAAAACTCAGCTGCACGCTGTGAGAGAAGAGCGTGCGAAGGCAAATATGTCTTGGGGTTATTACAAAACCAGTTGAACCTCTGAAGAGATTTCGGGCACCCCCCCCCCCAAAGGTTCCTGGGCCACACTTTGAGAACCATTGTTCCCGAGACCAATACTTGGCCCCCGTGTTCAGGAAGGTTCAATCTAATGGGGGGGAAACAGGGTTTGCAATGTTTGGGACTCACAGAAACGCCCCAGGACTAGTCAGGTGGGAGGTACCAGAACAGACTACCTCAGGAGGTAGGCTTTCAAGAATAGATCATCCTCCTTCAGAATTGGCCCAGCATCACATTTCCTAGAACTTTCTAGACTTTGAGCAGCACACCCTGCCCATCCTGGTCCCACAATGAAGGGGCCATTCTAGGTGCCCAGCTGAACACAGGGCGTCAGGGAGAGCTTCGACCCTGGAGCCCCAGCGACCGTGGGCCCTGGTTCCTCTGGGCCTCCAGCCATCTGCCGCCTCGAACCCCCAGCTCACCGACCCCTCTGACCTGAAAGGCCTTTCCGGGAAGTGAAGCGCCCGAGTACCTTCATCAGACATCAGCTCCCAGGAACGCGGGCTCCCCTCTGGCTGTGTGTCTACAGCTGAGGATTGGCTCCAGCCGCGGGCCCAGAAGCTTCCTCATCGGGCCACATCTTTGCCTCCCTTAGTCCATCCTGACTGAGGCTCTGACATGCCCTTGGCTGCCTCTGGGAGCCCCTAGGAGGGTAGAGCCTCATGTCCTCACCAGGATGGGGCTGCCATTCCCCCCCCCCCCCCTTGGGGAGCTTCTTAGAAGCCTTTCTGAACATTTTAGGAAAAAGCTGGTTTGTCTAGAACATCTCAGTGCTTTCCACAGTAAGCCCACAGCCTACATTTCCTGTTCTATCTTCCACTAGTTTTCCACCTCCCACCCCCAACCCCTGCACTGCACCCCCTTGTCACTTTCCCCAAGAGAAACCTTTACAAGCTCAACTCCAGAACAACCACGCCCCCAGGGAGACTTCCAAATTGCTCTGGCTGGAAGTGAGCCTTTCCCATCCCGCACCTGGGGTGGTCCAGGGCCCTTCAACTTGATTCAGCAAATGGACTGGGGCCCTCTCTATGCCAAGCCCCACACTGCAGGCCAGGATCAGAGATGAGGTATCTTCAGGCATGGGTTTGCTAAGGAAACAGCGAGGACCCCCCCCCACCCCCCCACCCCAGGGCCCGTTGGGGAAGCACAGGGGCTTGGGAAGCCCAAGGAGAGGCCTGGGGGTGAATCTGGGAAGTTTCCCTGGAGGAGGTGGTAACTGCCTAACTCCTCAATCCCACACAGCAAATATTTGTTGAATGAGTGGCTCGTGGAGGGAATTGATCTCCCAGATACCTATTGGCTCCAAAATGCTAAGAATGTGGTTTTGAAAGTTTGTTTCTACCAGCCACGTTTACCTTTACCTCGGAAACATTGTTTATCCACTTACTTGAAAGCCCTTCCTTGTGGCTTGGAGAGAGGGCTGGGGCAGCTTATGGGAACCATTGCTCTACTATGACCTGGTGGCTGGTGCCCCCACTGACCCTCTTCTTTTCTCCCTCCCCACTCCCCCAGCATACTACCACAGGCTGCACTGGAGGAGATCCACAAATTCTCAGGAACCTATACCTGCATGAACACTTTCAAAGGGAGGACATAAAGGCAGGATGCAGAGACATGCTTGAAAGCCACGGAACCTGAGGGGGCCACGGCACGTGGGCACACCCCCATGCGCCTGTCCCTTGGCACACTTCTGCTGGGTGAGTGGGACTGTTCCTGTCCCCAGGAAGAATCCGGGTGAACCCCCAGGCCAGCCCCAGGACCTTTGCACAGGACTGATGGGCGTAACTCTGACCCCCATGGGGAGGCAAGAAACCAGCCAGCAGCCACCTTGACACTTTCATACATGTCTAATTCTGTAGAGTTTATTGTTAAATTGCTTCTCGAGTCTAACCAGCCTTAGCAGTGTGTTTAGACTGTTTCCAGGAGGGTCTATACCCAGATGCTTTTTTCTTTGCAAAATCCACCCATCCTCAGCTTGTGCAAACTGGTTGTATGGCAGGAATGATAAATAAAGACATCGTTTTTGCGAGTTCTTTTGCTGAAATCCCTGAACCCCTGGTCCTTGCCATTTGGGAAGGGACTGATCCCAACCACAAAACCCCATCTTTAAGAGACAGTTGTTCTGCTTGGGGTCCCCAGCTGCTAGGAGTGGAGCGGGTGAGAAGAGGGCAGAGGTGGCGAAAGGTATTGGAGCCCGAGCCTGGGGTACACGGTTCCTTGCGGCTTCTGCCAGGCCCCTCCCAACAGCCATGAGTTGGGGGACACGTTGCACCCCCATCCAGTTCCCTGATACGACCTTGACGAACTGGTGAGCAGAGAGCTGCCCTCTGCTCTGCCACAGCCCCACCAGCACAAAGCAACCAACTCAGGAGAGAACCAGTCCTTAGTGAGTACCCACTGTCTACTGAGCATGACTGGGTACTGAGAGGGCAATGTTGCTGAGAGGCCGACATTCTGAAGACCACCATCATTAAGACCAGTGTTAGGAGGGTGCTACAGGCCCCTGACCCAGATTGGACCTCAGGGGATAGACGTGAAATAGCAAAGGAGGGGCGCCTGGGTGGCGCAGTCGGTTAAGCGTCCGACTTCAGCCAGGTCACGATCTCGCGCTCCGTGAGTTCGAGCCCCGCGTCAGGCTCTGGGCTGACGGCTCAGAGCCTGGAGCCTGTTTCCGATTCTGTGTCTCCCTCTCTCTCTGACCCTCCCCCGTTCATGCTCTGTCTCTCTCTGTCCCAAAAATAAATAAACGTTGAAAAAAAAAAATTTAAAAAAAAAAATTTAAAAAAAAGAAATAGCAAAGGGGCACCCGGGTGGCTCAGTCGGTTAAGCATCCGACTTCGCCTCAGGTCATGATCTCGCAGTTTGTGGGTTCGAGCCCCGCGTCGGGCTCTGTGCTGACGGCTCGGAGCCTGGAGCCCGCTTCGGATTCTGTGTCTCCCTCTCTCTCTGCCCCTCCCCTGGTCACGCTCTGTCTCTCTCTCCTTGAAAAATAAATAAGCATTAAAAGAAGAAGTGGAATGGCAAAGAACGAGGAGGTTTGGAATGGCACAACAGACCCGGGCTCAGTCAACGGGGAAAATCACAGCCAAGGAGATGTGGGGAGAGACGCCCCCTGGTTCGCCTGGTGTATGCTCTTCCCTGCTGCAGCAAGCTTAGTAAACCTGACCTTGGCAGGGGCACAGGTGAACAATGGCCTCCGTGCACACGGCTCTTGCTGGTGGGTGGCCAGGAGCAGGGAGGGGAACGGGCAGTGGTTCCCCAGAGGTGAAGACGGTCACAGGCCACCAATCCAATGGAAGAGCCTCCCACGTGCTGTGTAAGGCCAGCGTTTCCACACAACTCACGTTAGCAGATTAATCTCGGAGCTCAGGCTGTTGTCAGATCTGTGTGCAGAAACGCCAAGTCATGGTCACATCCGCTGCTCGTGTAGTACCTGCCAAGTGGCCGCCAAGTCAAGGGCATCACATTCTAACGGTGAATCATCCGTTGCACCAGGCAGCAGCTCTCGGGAAGCCCTTCCAGCAGCCACAATGTGTATCAGCCAAGATATGACCCCAGGAGTCATCCCTTCAACAACGGAGGCTTGTCTTAGGATTGCCACTTGTCCTTCAAGGGTGGCTACAGCTCTGCTCTGTGTCCTCTTTGCGCTGGGAGCCTGGCCAAGAGAGGAGCCAACATCTGGGATGATGTCTTATGGCAAAAGTAGTAGACACGCCTGGCCACCCGGCATCGGCTCTGAAAGTTTCTGCCTGGAAACAAGGGATGTCACTTCCACTCACAGCTCATTGGCCAGAACAGGTCACGTGGTCCAGACGGCCGTGGGTGTGGCTGGCCATACAATCCCCCTGGAAGAGTGGTCCGTAATTTTGAACTATTACGCCATGTGCCACGCCGTGGAAGTCGTCCGTAGAACATAAGGAAAAAGTGAAATGTAGGCAGGGGATGGAGGGAAGCCGATAGATGCCGCCCAGGGATGTGGTGGCCTCTCAGTGCTTCTTCACACCGGGCCCTGAGCGGAGCCCCAAAGAAGCATTGGCCTTTTGGTGGGGCTGGTTTTGGAAAGATCGTTTTGTAGGCGAGAAAACAGGCTCGGAGCAGGGAGATTGCGTGCCCGGGTTCGTAGGGCTGGTAAAGACCAGAGGCAGAATTTGAACCTGGCTCTGAGCTACAAGACCCGTCACACCGGCAAGAGACTCATCACCTTCATTTTGGTGCTTGAGGACATGTGTCACAAAGTCGGGGGGAGGGGTGGGGAGAAAGCTGCTAACGGTGTCCCCCTGGTACCCTTGCCAGCCCAGTGAGGTCAGTCTCGGAATGTCCATGGGCTTGGCCTGCCCCCTCTGCTGTCCCAGAACCACAGCCAGATGTCTGTCACTGGCTCTCACGGGAGACAGGTTCCAGGTGGGGGGCACATCTTCATGGGCAGGGATGGATGAGGAGGAAGAAGTGGGGATCCTGTCTACTGAGCTAGTGTGTCCAGTTCAACTGCCCCTTTTGTGATCATCCTTGAGTGGCAAGCAGATTTCTGAGGTTACAGCTGGCTCCAGGCCAACCTTTTGGAGGGAATTGGACTCCTGAAGTTTCCACGAAATTGCATGTGACCTGCAGGCCAGGAACACAGTGAGGATCCCAGGGGTCTGAGTGGACTCTGGGAGTGACAGGGCCAGCCAGCGCCTCCCCCTGCCCCCCATCCCACCCGACAAGGGCTTCGTGAGAATGGAATTGGCTTGGCTGCAGTGGGACCTCACATCTTCCCAGAGCCCCCGGGGCTTCTCCTGACAGCCAGGCAGGGCCTGGTCCCACCCCGACCCCTCCCTCTCTGCTGGGACACTTTTCAGTCTTTCTCTGGATCTCTTCCCAGAGGAACCAGGGAAAAAGCCTTGGGCAGATTCCCAGGAGGCCCTATCCTGGTCCCTCCCCCAGAATGGTCTGGGTGCTTGGAAAGCCTTGAGCGTGAGGGAGGAGATCTAATTCTGTCCCTGAGCTTAGCCAAGCCAATGAGAGTGACAAACACTGAACTCTGACTTCCTGACCCCCGAGGGGCAGGACAGGGCATGCCAACCCTGCAGAGGAGGCTCGGGCCCTGGGAAATGACCTAGTTGTCATGCCGGGGGCCCCTCCCTATCTCCAAAGAGAATCAGAGTGGAGGTGGGCACCAGGCCCAGGGAGGCGCCAGACCCGAGCCCATCCTGGCAGGGTTCCAGGGACCTGGTTATCTGGCCTGGCCAGTGGCCAAGAGTTGAATCCTGTGGCCACAGCCCCGCTCCTAAGGCCAGAACGATTTGAGAAGTGGAGTCTCTTCTTCTCGGGCCAAACCAATGGCCAGAAGGGACCAGGATGACAGAAAACTCCTGGGCTGACCACGGGCTCAGCCCTACCCCAGATTGTCCCCCTTCTGAGCCCTTCTCATCATGCCCCTGGAGATGTCCCAGTCTGATGGGGGACAAAAAAGGGAACCAGGTTACAAATAAATGAATCCTGCTGCCTGAGTGCCGTGCAGCACAGAGGGAACAAAATGCTTGCAGGTGGGAGGATGGGGGTCCGGGGTCAGGGAGGGGCCGCTGTGGGGTGCTGTCCCTCCACCATCGTGCATCTGGAACTTCTCCCACTGAGGAGGCTTCTCTGATTTTCAGAAAGGGGACCATTAATAAGAGCCCAGAGGTCTATGTTTGTGAAGAGAACATCGATACGCAGTCACTCCTGACTTCGAGCAAAGCAGGGGGTGACGACGGTGTCTGTCGGCACAGAAAGAAGGCTGGGAACCACCTGTGGGCACCCCAGTCACTCTGCGTTCCCCTCCAGTAGGGCCCTCATACTGGGATCCAGTTTACCAACATTTATTAACACACTTCTCCTCCTAAACTGTGTGCTGTGGAACAGAGCCTGGGCCTGGGGGCCACTGCCCCTCTCACCTCCCATGCCTCCCCCCCCCGCCCCGAGGCCCTCAGCTTCCAGGAAACCAGCAGATCCCTGAGTACTCAGCTTCTCCCAGCCCACCATGGCCCGAGGCTCCCCAAGCATCAGGAGGCCCCAGTATTTTCAGGGAGGGATCCAGACTGGAGTTCCACTGGCTCTTCTCCCTCCTGCATGTGAGGTCACCTTTCCTGTCCTGCGGAAGGGACAAGATGTTCCTGCCTCCTTGCCTCCTGGGCAGCGATGAGTGTCCAGTGCAGAGGTTCTGGGAACTTTGGGAGGGGGATAATGTGATGCTGCTGGCTCCCACAGCTCCTAGCCAAGACCGATCTGCCCCTCGGGACACCACACCGTCTTGGTGTGGCCCAGCCTGACCTGTGACAGCAGCCTGCCCTGAGGCCTGGTTATAGCTCCTCCGAGGCTGGGGCGGAACGAAGCTGGAGCTCAGGAGACCCCAACGTGGGCGGTAGGTGCAGGGGCCGGGAGGCCTGTGGGGAGGGCAGAGCAAAGGGGTCAGACAGAGAAATGCTACATCGGAGGGGGTTCTGCCATCTTCCAGGACACAGCGGGCAGGGCCGGGGAGTCTGGCAACCCCCCACCTCCCCCCC